GCGTCATATCGACTAAAAATAACTATATGATATGAGTTCAGCGTTAATTTATAATTACAGAAAATTGTTAAAGCAACGTTTCCTATATCTCAGTACCGAGATGGGGTCCAAGATTTAAGATGTCACGGATGTGTTTGACACATTTTTTTTGGAAGAAAACTATGATCGATTTTACTGCTTGCATCAGTGCAGAAAGGCACACATTCTTATAGAAGCTGGGTCAAAACACCGATCTTGTTCAGAAATTCTATATCCTTTCGCTTAATTAAAGATCAGCATAAGCGAAAAAGCAATTCAATATTGTGGCAAAAACAGTTACCATGCTGTAACATCGCTGAAGATTTCTTGAGGTCTTACGCGAGTCAAAATGACAACAGTCGTTTTTCGGCGTGTCCCGCAACGCTCTCCTTGAGGGGAGCCTTGAGTGGCAACGAACAAATACAGCTGCGAGAGGTTACAGTAGTACGGCAAAGGTGCAGATCAGAGTTAATTCAGCGAGATAGATCCATGAATTGGCTCACAGGAGCCTTTGATTTAAGCAAGACGATTCTGCCGATTTATTTCGTCGACTGATCGTTATTAAATTTGCCCATTCTCGTTCAATAATGTCGTAAAAAATGTTTTTTTTTTCTTAACAGCACAGCTACCGTTGCATTCGTTGTCACAACAATGAGGCTGGTGGGTTGGCTGGCGGGAGTTGTCATGCTTTCATGTTTTCACTGTACAGTTGGTTCCGGGTTGGACCCTGGAGAGCAGGCCAAAGTAACTACGGCTCTCGAAACTGCTCAGTTTGCACTAGAAGCTATTAACGAACAATATAAGGTTCAAGCAGAAGCCATCGACAAGGCGCTGAAGGTTTCGGCTCAGACGAAAAGCGCTGAACTATTGGATAAGCAGACGAAATTAGCCAAGATCGGTTCCAAAGTTGGCAAAGCTCTCAAAGCAGTGCAGGCTGCATCTGCTATTGCAAGTTTTGTCTTTACTTTCTTTATGCCAAGTGAACTCGATGTCATCACGGGCTTGATAAACAAACGCTTCAACGAAGTTAATAACAAGCTCGATCGTCTGGACGAGAAACTCGACGAAATGGAGAAATCTATCAAGGCGAATACTGCTTTCAACACTTTCCTTGCTGCCTGGATCAAATGGGAGTATAAATCCAGGAATGGAGCCAAGAAACTATCCGACATCCGCAAGCTAATGGGGACTAAAACACGAAGAATAGACCAAGTAAAGCTCGCCGAAGAATACGTTAAATATTACGAAAACAACAACTTGGACGGCAACCTGCTGAACCTCTACAGAATGGCAGCTCGGCCCGAAAGTATAAACCATCGAAACATCTTTGACAGATTTATTGCCGAATATGGCTGCGACATAACGAAACTGTCCGAATTAATTATTCTCATCAAGAACATTATGACCAGTGCTGCTCAGCAAAAGATGACCTACTACTACTTCAAGGGTGACGAAAGCAGAGCTACGGAGGGATTTAAAGATGTTCAGACGTACTTCTTCAACATTCGTCGAGCGTTTGACGATCGAGTCTGGCACTGTAGGAGAGACTCCCTTTACCACGCGGAGAAGAATGCTAACAAGATTTTGAAAGAAATGAAAGGATCTTCCCGGGAAGGCATAGTTCGAGCCATCTTTGATGAACTGAAAGTCAAGTACCCCTGGTACACATGGGCAGTGGCAGCAGTCAAGAATGACCGTCCAGGAATTCGTGATCTTGATTTGAGAGGCAATACGTATTTTGAATTAGAAGACCGCTCAGATCCTGACAAAGTAAAATCTTATTACGTTGTCTACGAGGACACCAAGTCGTCTGCAAACTGCATTGACATCACGCAAGCGAAAACTTTGTTGGTTTTCAAAAGATGTGAAGGGTGCAATTCCGATTACATCTATGCCGCTGATAACATCCTGTCAAAGAAGATGTGTGGAGATTCGACTCTCGCAAGGGTTGTTGACTTTCAGTACGAAGCTTCGCATTCTGCAGTCAATTTCAATCCAAGATGTTCCAGCCCTGGGCGTTGTCCTAATTCCTTTTGCACCTACTGTGCTGATCTTGTAAAAAAGGAAGTCCAAAGGTGGGACTTCATTGCATCAGCAGTTCACACCATCAACGACGTATGTCAGTCTGAGAAGTGCAGTGGCCAAGGATGGTGCAACCAAATACCAATTACGAAAACTTATCAGTGTATCTGCGCAAGGGACTATGAAGGCGAATCGTGTGAAAAACGCTTAGACTTCGATGACACCATTGAAAAGCTGATCTCTGAATTAAGAAAAACGTTCCAAGTTGTAAACCACGTTCCCACTACTGTGGACGTGTTCTTCTCCATAAGGTCGTTGTCCCAGAAGTTGGACGTTGTTTTACAGAAGATCAAGGCCTCCTTTGCTCATACAAATAACATCATTCAACATTCTGAAATCATTTACAACGTCGAAGATATTGCCGATCTGTATGCAAAACTA